CCAGTTACTATAAGTTACTATAAGTAACTGGCTCGCGCTGCCAGTAATTACGCGGCGGGATATTCAGTGCACAGACCGTGATCATAAGACATACCGAAAATAGAAAATAGAAAATAGACATTGCATGTGAACGAAGCCTTAGATCAATCTAAAGATTAAGTTTTAGATCGACCTAACTCCCTGGGGGTTCACACTAAATTGCATGCAGTCAGCCAAGCGGGCACCATAGTTAATTACCCCCTTACAGCTTTTAGTAGGCGGGACAGACGCTTAAGCCAGCCAAGCTGACAGTAATCTAGTGAGACTCCCCACAGGGATAGATCGATCTAAAAATCTATGGAAATGGGGTGTAAGACCCGCACGATACTGTAACATGTCCTGTAATGTATTGCGGGTGGCACTGGTTCTTATATTAATGAACATTATCAACTCCATCTCAAACAAGACATTACTGTAGTGCCTGCCCTTTTTTTTCTACCCAATTGAATCGGATGTGCCAAGTTTATTGAGCTTCTGGCATAAATGTCAAACCGTTAATTGGTCAGCCTGACAGCATTTGTTTCTGTCTGTTTATAATTTTGGCACTTTTTTTCCTGAAGTCACTTCATCTCAATTTCTCACTTGTATTGTTGATATGTGTTTGGTAAGTAAAGCATGAGATCAGAAGGCTTGTTAATATAGCTTAACCAATAATAGTACTGTACTACAAGTTGAAAAAAAGACAAATTAATTGCAACCATTTTTTTACAGTTGAATTCTACACCACCAGTACAGCTTGGATGTATGTTGTGTTTTTTTTTCTATTTATAAATTATCTCAGCTGTGAATGTGTTATCTACTATGTTTGTTTTGGTTTTAATTTATATATTGATCTTCTTTGTTTTTGGCCATAAATAAATATAATAAAAAGCTTTGTTTTGATTGTATTTCAGCTCTAGAGAGAAGTGGCAGTGCTGGTTTTGAATGGGATGGCTTAGAAGAACCACAGTTTGAGTTTGATGATGACTTGAACTTCAGTCTTGAGTTTGCAGCCAATCAAGGTTTGTGCAGTTAATATCCCTAAACGCATCTGTTGTTAATGAAGCTGATATTGTACTCTCTTGCCTTTTTTCTTACCCATTCCATTTACACTATTATGTTGAATTTAGGTCCTATGTCTTTGCTTCTTTTGAACAGCTTTGACTACTTACTTAATTAAAACATTGAAGCTGCTAATAAAAGAATAATACCTGTATAAAAAGCATTACATTTCAGTAGGACTACTTTAGATCATCTCAGCATTTTTATGTGACTGGCAGGCTTACTGGCACATACATATCGTACATTAGTTTTCAGTTAATGAGGTTATATTTCTGGTATTTAAATTATGTATGTACAGTATGTATGTAGCACATCTCTCATGTGATTGCCATATTGGAAATGATAGGCAAATGTGTCACACGTCCTTTTTTACAAATGGTGATGATACAGTTGTACATTTGATGGCTGTTATGGATCATACAAAAGATAAAAAGTTAATTATGGGCAATACATCCCTTAAAGCTGTGATACTAGTGAAGCATACAGTATTAAACAGCTTAGTATTTGGTTTTAAAGGTTGTAACAATTAAGGTAAAAATGTTGCAAAGTTGCAAAAACAAGTGCTGTTATGCTAGTTGTAAGACTAACTGATTTATAAACAAGACAAGTCAAATAAGAACAATTAACTGAAAAGTATTCCTGAAAATAATGTAAGTGTCAAAAGTGAAAACTGTTTTAAATAAACCAAACCAACTAAATGATTCACCTGTCTACAAAGAGACAGCATATATAGTATGCAGCACATTTTGCCTGTACACGAAGGACATTCCCGTTTGTATGTCATTTATCTATTTAAGCAGCCAGTCCAGAGACAGAAGGTTTGCCTCTATGTGCCCCAGGGTTAGAGGAAAGGCTGGACACACTGCCCAAGGGTAGATACCAGTATACCCATTCCTTTGATGTGTTTTTCTCTTAATTTACCCATTTGTGTTTTAGTGTTTTACTTGTCATATATACTTGTTTGTAGATCTATATATTTGTGTAACGGCATAGATTGTTTTTATTCATTTACTAGATGTGCCTCGGGCAGAAATAAATTGGGTACCAGTTTGGTAATAAAATGTTGCCCAAATAGCCAATTATCTGAAATATTGTCAGAAGAGTTGTCTGAGTGTTGGAATGATGCACATCCTTCAACTGAGTTAATGAGTTTTATGTATATATTGCTTGTAGAAATATTTACTTATAGCTAGTGAGTTGTACATATTTCTTTGGATGCAGCATTTGAGTAGTGCTCATACTAGTAGCTATACAATAAAGAATTAAGAAATGGGAGTTTTGATGACTTAAAGAAAAAGCTTGTTTGCATGCTGCATGCTATCTGAGTATTAAGTGGTGTCACCTCAGTTGTCACAATTATTGTCATCATATACTATATGAGGAGAACAGGATGTGTTAGACCTGAACAATTGTAATACATGTACTAGTGCTAGCTACATTGTAGAATTGAAGTGTTCATAAATGTTCAGTCAGAATGAATGTCAATATCCTGCTCCATCGCTTCACTTCCTATATAAACCTACATCTTTTATGGAAATTAATATACTAGAAAGCAAGTAATTTTAAGATTTATTCATTCACTCATTTATTCATTCATTCATCAAATAGATTAAGATCCAAAACTGACAGTTGGTAATATAGTCATTAGATAAAATAGTGATGATATTTACAACCAGCAGGGGCATTCCGAATTGTCAGAACTGGTTATTTTGTATGGATGATAATAGTAAACCACTATGCAGGTGTCATACGAGTAGTAAGAAAATCACTGACCCTTATCTCCATACACCACCGAGGCTGGTATTACAGGTGGTTTAGATACTTGTGGAATTTTAATAATTAAATTACCTGTATGTACAACAAGTGTGAAATTAAATGTTGCTTATTATACAAATAAGTTTATAAGTAAGTTTGTGTGTGAGTAAAATACCTATATGTACAATAAGCGTGAAAGTAAATGTTGCTCATTATACAAACAAGCTTATAAGTAAGTTTGTGTGTGGGTATGTATGTGCATACATGCATGCACTCGTATGTGTATTGTATGCACATGCAAGCATATTTCGATGAGGTGTGTGTGTGTGTGTGTGTGTGTGTGTGTGTGTGTGTGTGTGTTGGCATATATAACCAATAATAACACTTTGGATGAATATGCATTCAACACACATAAAATATACTCTAGAGGAAAACTTGATAAACAAATGGATAAAATATCTTTCTCCTCAAAAAAGATATCCTACAGGTGAAATAAGACACGCCTACAGTGTATGTCCTACACTCCTCACATGTATATTTAAACCTGACTGGCTAAATCATCTTGAGCAGGTGAATAGTGCATTACAATCTCTTTTGTCAACTTGCTGTAGGAGGTGTGTGTATAGAATGTCATGTTGGTTTACATATTGATGTAAGCTTGTGGTTATAGTTTTTATGTGTTTGTCTGCATGTGTGTGTCATTGTTGGTTTTAAATGTTAAACGTCTGTTAATCTCACTTGAAAGACATATTTCAAAATAACACCCAAATAATAAATAGTTTGCCTCATTCCAGTTAAAAAAATTGCCTTAAATCCTTGTTTCCTAATGTAAGCACTATATGTAATATTTTTTAAGTAAGGTACTTTATTTTGGCTTAGGCAAGTTATAGGAATGGTTCACAATGAAATTTGTGGCCCTAACAAATACCTCCTCTCATTTCCATCATATTTATGAAATCACCAGTTTTTCTATATTCTACTTAAGGTACTGCAGGGCAGGACGATGAATGTTAGTCTGTTAATCTGATTACATTCAGCAAGAGTCCTTTAGGAGTTAGTGCACATTTGTTAGGTCATCATAATTCACTGTGAACGGTCCCATAGCAAAGTGATCATATTCAGCAGATGGTTTCAGGCAGATTGCAGTGTTATTAATCTTACATCTTTGCCGTGAACATGTTCTTTGCCACTGGTTTAAGAACAGCCCGCAGTGTAGCATCTTTTTTAATTAGATAAGTATAATGGGTTATACTTGAATTGCTTTCTGTATAATAAGATTTGTTATCTGCTCTTTTAGAACTTCCCAATCCGGATGATCCCAACTCGGTGCTGCGCAGTGGGGCCATGACCCCAGATGGTCTCCTGGATGATGACTTTGAAAAGGAACTTGGGATGCAGGAGGAGGTGAGAGGACCAATAAGCACAATAATCCACTAATATTAAAGGAAACATTACATTGCCTGAGATGTAGATAACAGTATAAAGATTGGAACATTTGTCATATTGGAAACGCCCTCTTCCTCTATTCCTACCTCCCCTACAACCCACAGTTTTCCTCTCAATTTTTCTTTAATTTTCTATTAGGTTTAGTTGTAGCATTTCGACATACATTTACAAGCTGCTTTGGAGAGATGATATTTTATTTTATTTTTATTTTCAAAAACACATCACAAATTAAGTAAATGAATAAATTTACTGAACAACTCACTCAGCCTATAGGTATACCAATGACTGCCCTGAGTTTCTGAGAATTTGTTGGGAACTTAAGATCTGTGTTCAGGTTATAAAAGAGACGAAACTGTGAGTGCAAGCCCTGAGTTTGCAATGCAACTCACTTCCTCATTAACATACATTACCGTTTAATGTTTGTATTATACACTGATAAATGAAGCAATTATGGACACAGGATATGGGAAGTGCTGGCCGGAATTGATAACTTGAATACATGATGGGTCTGTATCGCTAACAAATGTAGGGAAATGTACTCTTGTATACAGGATGCTGGACACTTAAATCTGCACATACTAGATACAAATGCCATCTAAATATATCACTTGACATGTTTTGAAGCAAAGTTTTTGTAGGAATTCCTGCGACAGGATTTTCTCAGAACTTGCAGCTATTTTTACATAAACTAATTTCAGTGTGCCATAGCTTGACAGTTACCTGCCATGATCTTGTTGTAATTATATAGGCAATATATTATCCCATATCAAACTAGCTTAACTGAGTTAATTATACAGGGTTGGTGAAGATGGGGCCTCAATTATCTTCAGGGTTTTCGTTAGGTATTGAAGCCCATCACAAAAAACATTTTGTAACCCATCATACTTTTTGCTCATTTCACTTGAACTGTATAAGTGAAATATTATTATTATTATTATTATTATTTATGATAAATCAGAAGTTACTACTGAGTGTATGTATACATGTATGTGTATGTGATTATCCCTCAACTTCAGATGGCATATATCTGGCAAACTGTTTTGAGTATAAAAAGAGTTGTTTTGTTTATAGGATATAGCCAATTTGTGTAAGGTGGTATTTCCTGCTATCTGGTAGCATCCATCTGTTTCATATCATGTTATATTATGCCATGAGGGTGGATGGTTCATGTTCTTATTTAGCACATACAAGACATTGTTTTTACAGAAAGGGATAAACAATTTATATATTGTTTGGTTCATGTAAATATACAACCATTTCTTGGTGAAGTGTTTTCAAAGATTTATCCATAAAACATAGAAAAGAATTGTGACACATTACTGAAGACTCCTTTTAATCATTACAGGTGAGAGAAGAAGACATGCCATTTTATGATGTTGCACAGCACAGAATAGTGGAGATTGCAGGTAGTGAGTAGTCTGTCTTTTCCCTGCACCTGTCTTGGCTTATCTCGGACCTGCTAATGTGAACTCTGCTGCTGTCATATGGCTTGGACATAAACTGCACCCACATCTTACAACTTTCAATCAATGGGCTGACCAACAGCATGTTTGTTAGTTATAGTGACTACTGTGCTTTTTACACACCTTTTACACACCGTAGTATTTTGTAGTAATTTTAATTTGTGGCAGTGTCTAGAGGGGTTTTAAGCCGATGGATGTTTAGGTATATACTATCTTTTTAGTTGAATTTTTTCTGTTACATGTATAACACTAGCTCTTAAATGGCTTTTAGGGTTTTCACTTTTTAGTAAAAGTACTGAATTGTTTGTAGAAATTAATCATTTGTCAACAATTCTGATTTTCATTTAAGTTCTGTTTGACTTTGGTTAATAAAAACGTCAACAAACTGTAATCTCTCTACATGAAATTTTACCCTGTGATTAACCATTAAATTTCAACTCCTCAACATCTTATAGTTGTTGTTAGCATGTAGTTCATGCCTACTCTCTTATCCTGCACATAAAAAAGCTTTTTATATTATCTGTGTGATACACCTGTACAAAATACACGTTACTATTGTTTTTACATCATACACAAGTAAGTACTTCCATAAGTACAGATGTGATAATGACAATTTACAACTTAGTTTTGCCTGTTTTATTGCTGAATCTCTTTTATATTAAGTCATTGCCGTGTGGTAAATAAAGTACATGTGATTTGTTTTCTGTCTTCAGGTGATGACCGCTATGGCAGGAAAGTGATTGTCTTCTCGGCCTGTAGGCTGCCTCCGAGTAAAGACTTCAATCATGAGAGATTGCTGCAGTAAGTTTGTCTGTTGGATCATCAGAATGCAGAATGGGTCTGAAGACATGGTGTTCAGTAATATATAACTGAAAATTGAAAACAATACACAAGTCGGTATTATCTGAATCTTAAAATGCAATCTGCTGCATGAACCGCTGCCAAAAATATGGAAAAATGAGATTAATTTGATTAATTAATTCCTAAAGGTTCAGAGACTAAGACTATATCATATCAGCTAAATATTATTTTGCCTCATCTGGTTTGTTTTGTTCAAATATAGTGGTCAAATTGTACTGGTAGTTACAAGAAAACAAAGCTTATACACCTATACTTACCTCAATCTAAGTATTTGATCTGATTCTATATAATCTTGACAGTAGCATATTTAGATACGATAAAAAAATCTCTTGAAAAGTGGTAGGCTGTGGTAATTGGAATTTAAACTTTTCAGATCTCAATATTTCTCTGTGATATGATTCATGACAGAGGTATTCAGACCCATTTTATTTGAATGTTCCTCTTTTAATAATTTCTAGGTACCTGAAGCATACACTGGACCAGTATGTTGAGAATGACTACATCATTGTGTACTTCCACTATGGACTGAACAGTCAGAACAAACCCAGCTTTAAATGGCTGAAGGAAGCTTACAGAGAGTTTGACAGAAAGTGAGGATTTATCTTTTGGGTTTTTTATTTGTATTCATTGCATCTTTTAAACTGAACAAAAGATATATGTGCAATTATTATGAGTGTATTTATGTTTTAGAAATATTTTGAAGTAATGTGTTTGGATGATAAAAAAAAGGTAGGCATTGATCCTGTAAAGTAAATGTTTATCTTTAGGTAAATCCGTTTTATAATTCATTCAAGGATGAAATGCTTTATCTAATTTTAGATACAAGAAGAACTTGAAGAATCTGTATTTGGTTCATCCCACAAACTTTATTAAGATAATTTTATTACTATTTAGACCAATAATTAGGTATGTATTTATAGGGGAACATGGTTCACAGTTCTAGGATTTTCTTTCTTCCAAATTTGAAATAGTAATGATTGACAAATATTCAACTGTAAACTAAGTATACTCTTGAAATATAAAATAAAAAGATTCTGAAGAAGTCTGTTCTAGTAGATATACTGGTAACTGAGACAAAACCTTTGGAGATTACCACTGTGAATGCCAGTAGTCTTATTATCATCACAGAAAAGTGGATGTGAATTTCTTTTCTTTTTCAGTGCCAAGTTTGGCAAAAAGATAATGTATGTGAACTATCTCCATGAACTCAGAAAGTATATCCACATTGACCAAATAAACATTCCAGAGAGAGTACGAGAGTAAGTTGTGTATTCTGAATTGCTTGTGCAGTTTGTTTTTATTTCATCAAGTGAAAAATTAAAAAAGTCATAGGTATATGGGGTTAATCATATTCAGTTGAAATTCCTTTATAAAAAGCAAGCAAGGCTTTTGACTGTAAACAGTTCAACAACAACACTACTAAGCACACACATATGGGAATGTGACACTTGTAGATTTGCAGGCACACAAGTAATTGGATTAAATGCAGTATTTTATATTATATAATATATATTATATGTGTTGCCTGTTGTAGGCATGATGCACAACTGATAGAGAAGCACCAGCCCCGCCCCGCCAGGACAGCCAGCCAGGACAAACCAGCCCTAGACACTCAGCAGTTTGGAGTGACTTTAAAATTGTAAGTAACATTGGAGGAAAGTATTATATTTTTGACATGCATCATGTTTTATGTCTAAAATCACTGGCAAGAAGGCTTTTTGATCAATCTTGGGGAATGTATATTAAAACACCCATACATATGAAAATAATTTGATATTCAATATAAGTAGAACAGGCTGTTATATTGCTTTTTTTTCTTTTCATTTTAGTATCAAAGAGCAACATGGAGGAGAGGTCATTCCCCCTGTAGTGAAGCAGTGCGTGGAGTTTTTAAAAGAACATGGTAAGAGAGTATTACACAAATAGTAAAACAAATGAGCCAGAGGGGTGTGTGTGTGCGTGTGTGTGTGTGGGGGGGGGGGGGGGGGGGGGCGGGTTAAGTTCCCCTTTTCAGGCAAGTTCCTTTATCATTTT